AAGGCTCAGAGGAAGTGCGAAGAAGGTAACACTGCAGATTGTACTTTAGACTAGGAGGAGGCTGAGGGAGGAGAGAAGGCTGGGTACACAACCAAAGCAGGGAGGGATAAAGAATAACTTGAAGGATCTTAATGCCTTTATGTCTTATGTAAAGTACTTTAAATTACCTTGTTGTTGAAAGGTGCTATACAAATAAATTTGTCTTGCCTAAGTAGCAACCAGGTAGGAGTGGGAACAGGTAGAGAGTGAAAAAAAAAGAAGAGGGAATAGAGGGTGAGAATTTAGAAGTGAGAAGGTTGTGGTAAAACAAAGAAACATTACATATGTCTGCTCTCCGCCGGCATTTTAAAGAGGAAGGGAGGCTTAGGGAACTGCTGATAGAAATCAAATTAACGCTCCAGAAAAACTGTATGATTCTTCCCTCCCAGCCGTCCTCCCGCCGTAATAGCCTGATAATTGCACTTTAGTTCTCCGACATTCAGGCGGCTGGTTTCTCCTCGCCACGACACACGACGCCCCACACCCCGGCCACACATTTGCATACTGGATGTGTCAGTTGCATAAATTACCACTGCCACTTTAAGCACTGGGCCGCCAAAATAGCAATCATTCTTCTAGAAAAAAGTGGCCCCGGTCTGTTTGCCTGTGTGTGTGTGTGTGTGTGAGGCTGAGGCTGTGTCGGCTCACTCCTGGATGCTTGTTATGACGATTAGTATTATTCTCTGAAGCAGTCCTCTCTAATGGTCTGGCTGTATACCTTTCACTTCTCATTAGAATCACTGCAGGCTGTAATGACTCTGGTTCTATCTGTGTCTATGTCCGTACCGGTGTTTATATGTGTATGTGTGTGTGTGTGGGTGGCCGGAGATTCAGGACAGAGTTTATTACAGTTGATTGAAACAGCTCTGGTCTATAAGTTCATTTTCTCATGTCTCTTTGCTTTATTTGGTTATTTATGTTTGTGTGTGTGCTTGTCTAAGTGTCACACAGTGTGTGTGTATGTGTGTGTTTGTGTGTGTGTGTGTGTGTGTGTGTGCACATGTAGCATTTTTGCTTCTGTGCTGCTTTCTGTGTTTTTAGTAATGCAGGTCTTGTTGACAGCTTTTGTGTGTAGCTGCAGCTTGCATCTATGGGACCTGTTTCATGTCTGTTCACTTTATGCATTTGTGTGTGTGCACGTGTGTTTGTGTGTGTGTGTGTGTGTGTGTATGTGTGCGTGTGCGTCTGTGTGTGAGTGCTCTTGTGAATTGAGAGAAGAGGCCGAGGGGTGACGGGTTGTTTGTTCTCCAGCTCATTGTAATTTGTTCGATACATACTAATTGCTCTAATTTGTCTGTCTTGTTTCTGTTTGCCTTTGTGTGTGTGTTTGTGTCTGTGTGTGCGTGTGTATGTGTGTATGATGTGTGTTTTTTTTTATGTGCACAGTCTCTGGATGGCTTTGTGTTCGTGGTCAGTCATGAGGGACGGTTCCTCTACATCTCAGAGACAGTTTCTATCTACCTGGGACTCTCACAGGTAAGACGACCTCATTGCACACACACATGCGCGCACACACACACACTAGAATAATCCTTTGTGTGCCTATCTTCTGCTTACGCTTTTATATCCCCTCCCAGGAGTGTGTGTGTTTGTGTGTGTGTGAGTGTGAATATCTTTGACTGCACTCTTTGCGCTCATCTCTGGAGTGCAACTCTCACGGGGGCAATGCTACTCTCTCTCTACCTCTCTCTACCGCCCTCTCTCCCTCTCCAGGTGCTCACCTCTGTTGATTGCCTGTGGCCTCTTGTACTGTGAATGTTAAGTCCTGCCATTTTGCCCAGATGCATAAATAATAACAGTAATTACTGGCCCAGCAATCAAAGTGTCGCCCCAGCGCGCTGGGCCTGTCTAGGGGAACAAATCGATAGGCATCTTAAAAGCCACATTGATTGTAGGGAGGGGGAAAAACACCAAGGGGGATGGGAAGATAGATAGAGACAGCCGGAGAGAGAAAGAGAGGGGGAGGAAAGGAGGAGAGGTGTGATAAGAGAGAGATGTTTCGAAGTAAGAAGAATCGGTACAGCATGAGAGAGAAAAAAAGAGGGGAAGTTAGTGCTACAATAATAGAAGTAACCGAGTGTTTTTTAAATGTGGAAATTTGCTGTGATTGAGGGTCTACCCATGGCGACATTAAAGCTTAGTCTTGGCACAATACTCACAAAGAGTCATTGGTCACTGTAATTCTTTTCCCTGTCTATACTGGCTGTGAAGCGACCACCTCCTAACACGACTACACTGTAAGAGACAAAATGCACAGCCTTTGTTCCGTGTAAACATGAATTGTAAAGTAGAGCAGACAAAAAAAGTGGGTGTGAAATGGGCAGTGCAGAGGGTTACTACCTGGAAGCCATATGTAGGTTTGTTTCCAGGACATGACATGGACATTGTGTGACTACAAGAAATACCTTTTCATTTGCACAAAATAAGTACTGTAGAATTTGTCTACATCTATGGTATAGATTTTGATTCATAGTCTAGCTTTAAATCTCACCCATTGTTGGATGTTTTGTACAGGGCATATTGTTCTTTAATTGTATTCCTCACAGTAACTGTGTTTGCACTCTGTAATGTAGAGCAACAGTGGGGAGGTTCGCATTGTCTCATTGCGGAATAGGACAGTGCTGCAAGTGCTATAATATGTTATCACCTTTTTACATTCTTCTTTCATTCCATATGATACAGAGGCAAGTAAGTTGTCATTGCAGATGTCTTTGTTGAACTTCCTTAAAGAGTAACTTAACACCAGACTGAAAATGCTTTATTGTCCACTTGGATGAAAGTTTTAAGCTGCTTTAACCACACCCAGCATCACTGATAATGATTTTATATGTTGCCTTCATTTTCTTGACTTAGACTGTGATTGGGTGTGGTCAGAGATGTGCTCTGGTGCACCTGACCAGACCCAACAGTGACACCACTGACATGCACTGGAGTACACCTGTACAGATAGATAGATAGATAGATAGATAGATAGCATAGATAGATAGATAGATACGTCACCATAGATCGATAGAGTACGATAGATAGACCCAGATAGATAGATAGATAGATAGATAGACAGATAGTAGCTACAGTAAACAGTGCAAATGGAGTGGAGTCAAGTGGAAGTACACAGTGCAATGCAAAACTTGTATGAGAAAACACAAGCTACCCATGCTGACTAATCACAATTATTACAATCGCCATGTGGTATTTTTTGTAGTCGCCAACAGCTCTAACTTGTACTTACATTTTTGATTCAGCAGCTTTGTGCATAGGCTCCATTATGGAGAGGAGGAATGATTATAGAGGCAATTAACTCCTCTTTTAATGAACATATGGGCATGCAAGTGTTGTATTATACGATAGCCTTGAAAAAATACCAGCCTTTGTCCAAAGAGGACAAGGATTGTTTGTTTGCACCTGCTGTGAAGTTTCTTGGGTCTTTGCACTTTGCAAAGACAAATGCAGATAATAATAATGATGCACTCTCACACATACAGATTAAAACATAAAGTGGCAAAAAATTAAAAGCTAACTAGCCAAAACATTAAGATAGAGCAGTGGAAGACAGAAGACAGGTCAAAAAGGAAGATACAGAGAGACCGAGAGAAACATATAGAACCAGACAGACAATTACGAGAGAGAAAGAAAACAAAGGAGAAGAATATAGAAAAGAAAGAGAGACAGTGGTAAAGAGGAGAGAGAGAGTCTGAGTGTGTAAATAGAGTTTAAATGTGCAGTAGGAATGAAATTCGCCTTGGGATTGCCTAGGTAAACAAGACAGCCGAGGCTTTGGTGGAGATGCTAATAAAACAGAGCTGTTCTTATCAGCTGAGCAGATGGCCTAACCCATCACATCTACTCAAACAGGGCCTAAGCCATCAGCATTCTAATGAAATTATTTATGATCGAAGATTACGTTCAAAACCTTGAACATACAACGCCACGTTTACCTTCCTGAAAAGATGAGAGCGAGTGGGGATGGAGGGGGTTTATGATGAGGAAGAGAGACAACCCAAAAGGGCAGATGGAGTTAGGAGTTGAGCAGATGAGTTAGGGGGATATATGAGAGGCAGTATATAGTGTGTTTATGGACACATGCAATGAGAAAGAAAGACATCCAAAAAAGAGAGAAAGAAAAGGTGGGAGGGAGAGGACAAAAACACTTCGATATACTTTGTTGGCGAGCGGAGGCGGACACAGGGGAGAAAGGAAGGACAGACAAACAAACGATGTTCTGAGTAAAAAAAGTGTAACTGGTGGTTTGTTTTAGAGGGCATGTTGCCCCTGTGGACCGCCCCTGCCCTGCCGTCTCCTGTCCCCCCTGTCTGACCCCTCTGCCCTGGCTTACACCCTGGGCTTCTCCCCTGACAGGGGGGTTGCTTAGCCGGCTTAGCCCAGGTCAGGCACCTTGACCAAGGGCACAGCCTGCCGCCTACTCCCCTGGCGCCTCCAGGTATCATTTTTCTTCTCACCGGGTCTCCAGGCCGGAAGCACGGGGACAATCCTGGGAATGCTACATAGCAGATGAGCAGGGGGTGTGGGAGGAAGTAGAGGAGGCAAGGGAAGGATGGATGGAGTATAGGAAGAGGAGACAAAAAGCTGGAGAAGATGAAGAATTGGAGGGCGGAGCGGTGTAAAAGGTGGAGAAGTAAGAGCATGGGCCCGGAGAAGAACGAAAAGGGATAAATGGGGTAAAGAGAAGGGAGGAAGGATGGTAGATTAAGGGAGGAGAGAATTGATCTGGGAATGGTTAGTATGCAGCCCCCGCTCCCCCTCCCCCTCCCTCCTCCCTCCCTCTCTCCTCTCCCATCAGTCAGTGAGAGCTGAGGGCTGAGAGTGTGTTGTGGACCACTGCCCGGATGCCTCATACATATTAAAGCCCCCTGCTATTATTTATATCATGTCTCTCCTTCCCCTGCTTGCTGCCCTCCTCCTCCACCTCATCCCCACCACACTGCCATACATGCACGTGAATGTCTACACACACACACACACACACACACACACACACACCACACACCACACACACAGACAGGTTCACGCAAATGCACTGACAGACAACTACTCACACAAACAAGACACACACAATGACGCGTGGAGACACAAAAAAGACAGTCTAGTCACATACACAGAGAAACAGAGGTGCGCCGTGTGCTTGCATCGCACAACACAACACAGTCTACAACACACACACACACACACACAACACAACAAACACACTCACAGACACACACACTCAGAGAGATTTGAATGATCTCGGTCTCTCCTCACGTCTCCCTTCGCGCCACATTCTATACCTGTTTTTATGTCTGAGCCTGACTCATCCTCTCAATCGCTCCGTCTCTTTCTCATCTTCTCATTTCTGTCTGATCTTTTTTCAATCCCTCCCTTCTGCCTGTGATGGAGTGATATTATTCGGATAGGTCTTAAGCCCGGTAAAGCCCATAAGGACCTGTTTGTCTCTCTACCTTGTTTTCCAATACTACAGGGCCAGGGGATTGTGTCTCTTTCAGATGGCCGGTCCAGTGTTCAGTGAGCAGAGGTAAATTTAGCCCTTGTTTAAAAGCGATCATAATTCCTGTTGCAGAAGAATCACAATTCATAAAACAAAAACCCTTGATCACAGATAGATAGATAGATAGATAATAAGATAGATAGATAGATAGAAGATAGATAGATAGATGATAGATAGATAAAGAGATAAAGAGATAAAGAGATAGATAGAGAGATCTCAATATCATCAGTAGTAAAAGATGCCTGAAGCAAGGTTCATCTAGAGTTTTAGAAACCAAACCCAGTCCATTTACTTGTCAAATATCCAGCCTCTTAATGCATAGATGCGAACTCTATTTTTTAAACATTAATGAACGAGTCAGTTTTGATGTCAGAATCAAAAGGAATGCGGCAGAAACATCCAGCACCTAGTAATTACACTGCTGACATTATATCTGCATAATGAAAAGAAGGAAGGATCAGAAAGAAACACTTAAACTGTACATTCAGGTTGTTGTGAAGCTTTCAGTGTAACCCCTTTAATACACAGGATATTTTTCTTTAGGGCCTTAAATATTATGGACCATTACATTTAAAGGAAGTTTTATAGAATTAAAAAGATTTTACAGATATACTTCTTAAAGGTCTAGTGTGTAACATTTAGAAGGATCTAATGGCAGAAATGGAATATAATATTCATAGGTAGGTTATCATTAGTGTATAATCACCTAAAGATAAGACTAATTTGTTACCTTAGAATGAGTCGTTTTTATTTACACATGGAGCGGGTCCTTTTCTGTGGAAGCTGCCATGTTGAACTACCATGTTTCTACAGTAGCCCAGAACAGACAAACCAAACACTGGCTCAAGTTTGTCCTCCACACTTGGAAGGCCGAACTGTATTCAAAAGGTTGCAATCACTGTTAGATGCCACTGAATCCTACACAATGGTCCTTTAAGAGAGATTTACAGCTCTGATTTTGTTCCTCTTTTTCTTGCAACCATCAACTTCAATTGATGATGCTACCTACGGTTAATCTCTGTGAGGACTGCCAAAGCAGCTTAAAGTGGAAAGAGTCGATCGTGGTGATGAACCTAAAGAGAATTATCACCTGAACCTGCAGTTCCCCTCACCTTTATGGCGGTTTGTAGTAAATTTCAGCTCATTGTTTTGCTGCCCGACACACAGCTTTACTGTTCTGGTTGACTTTCACCACTCTCTGTGTCGTTTTCACCTAGAGCAGCCAGCTGTTTTCAACAAAGAAAGCAGTAAAAAAACAGCCTACACTACCTGTTCAGCACCAAATATCAGACAGTTAGTGATTAGCTGGTGAACAGAGTGCAGCATTCAGCAGCTAGATATTTCCCTCAGGAGTTGGTGGAAACCAAAAAGGGTGCTAATTATGTTTCTCTGTAACTGCTGGATGTTTAAATAAGCAATTGTTTGCAAACAAGTTACACCTTAAAATGTGATAATATTAGTGTTTGTAACTTGTTTCCATTACCCCCAAGTGGCTAAAAATTCCAGGACATGTAAGTTAAAGTATCATATCATTGTTTTTTGTAATATAACAAATTTCTGAGGGTAACGGAATATGTGTGCAGGGTATAGTTAGAGTGAGTTTAAAACCACCCACACTGGTTGTTAGATCAGGAAGGAAGGAGGATGAAAATGAATACATTAGACCTCAGCCAAAAGAGATTTTTTATATTAAATTTATAAAAGATATTTCTTTAACATATATTTAGCATTTAACAAGACAAAACTGAACAATGAGCACAGGGAGATAGGATGAGATCTTGATAATTTTATTTTTTATTTCACTGTGTCGTTAAACTCGTCAGGTAGGCCTATGCATTATGACGTCTACTTATTTCATATGCCCTTCGTGTTCAGTATTTGAATTAATGAGCCCGTTAAAACTTGTGTATCAGTGCCAGGGCATCCATTGGTGGGGTGGTAGGGATGCAGCTTCTGTTGTTGTGAACCTTTTTTCAAGCCTTTCCCTGCATTTTTATCTTTACCGCTACTATCACTGTCAAATAAAGGTTAAACAAAATCTGTTCTCATATATTGGGCTTTAAAATGCTTAAATAGTCATCAAAATGGGTACCTAGGTCAGTAAAAATTATGTAGGGAAATTACCCCACTTGGCGCCTATAAAATCTACTATTTTATAATGTTTTGGTGGCACAATTACAAAAAATAGGGCATCCCCCAAGGTATTAAACCCAGTCTGAAACTAAGAACCTCTATCCCGTCTCTTATCCTCCCACACTCAATGGGGTTTCCTCCATCTTTACCACTCTCTGTTCAACTCATCGTCCACTGCTCTCATTCCTCTGCTCCCGCCTTCCCCGTTCCCACTTCTTCCTCCTCTCCCGGCTGTGATGTCCTTGAGGGCCTGCTGAAGCTCCCATAAAGCCTGCAGTAAATGGCTCTAATCCGGTAATAAATGGCTGTGTCCTACAGACAAGGGTGTGAGGCTGCTGCAGCCACTGCTTTATCAGATGGAATGGTATTGGCACACACATGCACAGACACACACACACAGTCACAGATGTAATAGAAGCTGCATACATGTGTGTAAGCATGCATGCTCTTTTTCTCTCACTCACACTCACACACACACACACACACACACACTCATTTATACAGCTTCAGATGGAATCACATCTGCTCCGATTGTGCTGCTTTTATGGATGCCATGCAAGAGCAGCGCCACTATTACCTTTAAATGATTAGAGATGCGAATATGATGCATTATGGTGATAGGATCGTATAGAGCTGTATGAGCTGTTGCGTTGCTCTTTATGCCTGCTGGGATTGATTGTAACTGAATGAAGGAGCAGGGAGGGACACGGGGAGTAAGAAGAATAGTAATGTGACCTTTGGAGATACTTGGAGTTCACCTGTTTTAATCAGCAAATACAATTGATTTTTACTCCCCTGGTTTTATTTGTGTAATACTGTAGTCACTTGGTCCTCTGAGACTAGACTTAAATGTGTGTGTGTGTTTGTGTGTGTGTGAGTGTGTGTGGGAATGTCTTACAACCTCCACACTCCTTGTTGAGTTGTAACCCAGAGCAGTGCTTTCATTTTCCTGTCACAACGTATATTGATTTTTTCCTGTGTATGTGTGTGGGCACCCGCTCATGTATGTGCTCTAAGCTTCTGTTTTTGATCATGTGTTTTCTCTTCAGGTGGAGCTGACCGGCAGCAGTGTGTTTGACTATATCCACCCAGCGGACCACGTCGAGATGGCCGAGCGGCTGGGAATCAGGCCACATCTGAGGGCCGAGGCCGGCTGCCTCACCGCCCCTGAGAGCGCTTCCAGCTCCGCATCCACCTCCTCCCTGGCTGGAACCCCTGAACCCGGTACTGATTGTGCTGTGAATTTATAGAGAGAAAACTGAGAGAACTATGAGGAAGGAGAAGATGCATTTTTGTTGCATTCAGTGAAGTAATCGCTCTCATCCTCAACAGCTCCATCTAGTCCTCATTCTCCTGCTGACGATCCTCCCGACCGTGGCTTTTTCATCCGCATGAAGTCCACGCTCACCAAAAGAGGCCTGCACGTCAAGTCTTCTGGATACAAGGTATGAGGAATTCATTTATCCTAATTTGAAAACATACCTTGTATTATGCTTGTTCTCCTATTTACCTGCTTGTTCTTGGGACAGTAAAATGACAAACAGACTCTTGTCATTTTGTTTTGCACGGCCAGGGTTTCATAGCACTGTCAAGTTGGTCGTTTTCAGTGAGTTTTATGGCAGTGACCTTATTTCACACTGGACCGCTGCACATAACGGTTTACTGCACTCTCTGCTGTAATACCAGCGCTGCTGCATTCTTTAGCTCAGAGTCTGACTTTGTATTGTGTTTATGTTGAACGTATATTGATGAATCTTATATTTCTGACGTCATCTTGTTGTAACTGCTATTTACTTCACCCTGGATTACACAACTGTCTTACAATGCATCAATAAATTCGACCGATTCTTATTTTGTCCTGCAGAAATGGGCCTGCGTGAAGGAATATTATACCGTTGTCTTCTGTTTGTCAGGTAATCCATGTGACAGGACGAATCCGCTGCCGCCCTGCACTTGTGCCGGGCTCCACGCGTTCAGTGCGTCGACCGATGGGTTTGGTTGCGCTGGCACACACACTCCCACCCTCCACGCTTAATGAAGTCCGCATGGAGAGCCAAATGTTTGTCTTCCGAGTGAACATGGACCTACAGGTCACATATTGTGAGAACAGGTGAGGGTTTTGTCCGTGTTTTGAGGCGTAGCTGTATGGACATTGAATACATACAAATAAGTGTCTCTGCATGTTTTTTAAAGAGAGGTGATAAGTCTTGATGTATTGCTTTTTCGAGTGCTCCCACGTGTTTTTCATTAGTAGTTGGCAGACTACCCTGCCAGGTGGTGGTTTTAGAAGACACATCTGCTTCTGCTTAGTAGACAAATGTGAAATTTTGCTTTTTTTGTTGCATTTCTTTGCAGGATCTCAGAG